ATGTACTATATATATATATCCCTGATGATGTAGGAATCTGGTGGTGGCGTGATGTATCATTGCAGAATAGGAACCTTTGACCCTGTCAATCAAGCCTTTCATGTATACACCATCAACTTGAACCTAAAACAAACCCTAGTCACGTAATTGTTGAACGATGCAACATCCAGGGAGTGAGTGAATGCTCAGTCCAATTGGAGACCTGGGCCCCTTGGTATCACACAACTGGCTGATGAATGCGCCGTCTAATCAGAGACCTGGGCCCCTGGGTATCAGGCAACTGGCTGATGAATGCGCCGTCCAATTGGAGACCTGGGCCCCTGGGTATCACACAACTGGCTGAGGGAATGCGCCGTCCAATCAGAGACCTGGGCCCCTGGGTATCACGCAACTGGCTGAGGGAATGCGCCGTCCAATCAGAGACCTGGGCCCCTGGGTATCACACAACTGGCTGGTGATAACCATCTTTATTTAACGATGACCTAAACAATTCCGTGAGTTTCATTGGTGGATATCAAGTGGGTGCGGCACAAAGAGATCACGTGCACATTCAGTATGCACATTTTGATACCCAAAGCCGTCATATATAAGATTTTTCACGCAAGGGTTTCATCAGATTGACGACGTGGCATTCAGCCTTTGCATGCCTTCATTTATGAAGTCTGCTCGCTAACATTGAGTTGTCCTATAACATTGATTTGTACTGAGAGTTTTTGCATACGTGAGAGTGTATAGCCCTCCATTTTGCTCAAGAACATGAAGAAGGTAAGAGTTGTAAATTGCTTTAATTATGCAAGTACATGAATGTCTATCAATACCCTGATTGCAAACTGAGAGGAAGACATTCCATATGGTACAAGTTCAAAATCATGTTGGCCCTAAGTGACAAACCACGGTTGAATTTCTGATCGAAGAAATGAAAATATCGTAGTTCATTAGTTACACAATTCTGAACAAGTTTGTATTTGAAACGTCTTCTTCACAGTGTGGCATCAGGGTGACAGTAGACGTTCACGTAGGCCCCCTACTCGTGTATTAAATAACCAGAGAGACTTTGGTGGTACCCTCTTGTTCCCCCTCAACAGCAAAGCAGGAATCTGTATGGGCAGCAAAAATATAACCCTATGCATTACTGCCGAGTATTCAATGGTTTGGTATCAAAGGCATAGGCCTAAGTAAACCTTGTGTGCATTATAGGGAATAAATAGGTGCTTGGCCGGTTTTAAACACTGTGTTTAAGACTGGTTTGGAGTATGGACAAAAATTGCAGTATACAATAATACATTGTTTGGATATTACTATTAAAGTCTTTTTTGTGGGGGGGGTTCGAGCAGGTTATTACACCATTGTTCAATGTGCCTGGTTTCGGGCGGAGTGTCATTTTCCCCATAAGAGATGTCTCTCTGTATGTAACAAACTATGCAGTATTGAAACGATAACCAACCCCTCCCCCCACCCCTCACAAAAAAAATCATGCTTTACAAAAAACAACCCGTTATTTCTAGGGTGGAGGCAACCAGCGAATCGTATGGGAAAAATTGTCAGAAATGAGTTGAAGCAATTTTCTGAGTGGGAAAAAATGTAGTAGCCCTCTTAAATCCTGCAATTGTTTGTTTTATGCCCCGCGGCGAAGCCGAAGGGGCATACTGTTTCCGCCTTGTCCTTCCGTGGGTGGGTGGGTGGGTGTGTGTGTGGGTGGGTGGGTGTGTGGGTGAGTTTGTGTTTACATACCCTATGTGGACTTGTGAACAAAAGAGGTCCACATAATGCAGGTTGTGTTAACGTTATGTGAACTAAGCCGTGTCCACATCAGGTTTTGCCCTTTCTGGAAAACATGTTTAGAGGCATTTTTGGGTTAGGTTCATCGGTAGCAGAATGAAGAGAAACACAATAGGGAATCATAGAAAAAAATTGGGTTAAAAGAGTTTTCACAGTTTAAGTAAAGTTAGTTTTTGTACCGAGTTTTCTTAACTACACGAAAACAAAGCAATGTCCACACAAGGTATGTAACGTAAGCCTGTGTGTGTGTGGGTGTGTGTGTCCGGACAAATCTTGTCAGCGCGATAACTTGAGAAATACTTAACATATGAACTTCAAATTTGGTTTGTAAATTGTCCTTGGTAATCCTAAGAAGCCTTTTGCATTTGGGGCCGAAAGGTCAAGGGTCAAGGTCACAGTGGCTGAAACAATAGAAATTTTGTCAGCGCGATAACTTGAGATATACTTTACATATGAACTTCAAATTTGGTTTGTGGATTGTCCTTGGCAATCCTAAGAAGCCTTTTGCATTTGGGGCCAAAAGGACAAGGGTCAAGGTCACAGTGGCAAAAACAAAAGAAATTTTGTCAGCGTGATAACTTGAGATATACTTTACATATGAACTTCAAATTTGGTTTGTGGATTGTCCTTGACAATCCTAAGGAGCCTATTGCATTGGGGGTCGAAAGGTCAAGGGTCAAGGTCGCAGTGGGTTAAACAATAGAAATCTTGTATTTATTCTGAGATCATAGGGATTAGGGATTAATTCATATAAATTATTATAAATATATAAATTCATATATTAATTCATATTTGGTTTGTGGATTGTCCTTGGCAATCCTAAGGAGCCTATTGCATTGGGGGTCGAAAGGTAAAGGGTCAAGGTCGCAGTGGGTTAAACAATAGAAATCTTGTATTTATTCTGAGATCATAGGGATTAGGGATTAATTCATATAAAACCTACAGAAGACACTAATGCTGTCAATGAACGTTCCATTTGACCAAGGTACATGTAAGGTTGATGTTAGAGTGGTGTTATATCATGGAAACAGTCACGGTTGCGGGGCATTTGTGTTTGTAAACACACCTGACTTGTTTTTTGAATTATTTTGCTAACATCCATACTTTAAACTTCAATCTTTTTTTGAAATACAATTACAGTTCTTCTTTAAAAAAGCAAATGAATTTGGTGTCACTTTATCGAGATCTCTTTTGCAGGTTTCAATTTATATTGACAGACTAGTTCATTTCCGCAATAAAGTAATCGATGCTCCTACAATGTAGCTTACCAAAGTTTGGGGAAAAGAAACATACATAAAGGACTAACTATAGTTTAACACAACATCGACTTCTTTGAGTGGAATTGTGTGATTTCGTCCGACTCCATGTTGCAATTTAACTTTTAAAAATAGTAAAATTTTGTAAAAAATGGGTTTTGTTTTAACACCACACAAATTGCCCCCTATTCTGACTACCTAATTTTCCTGGTTCTCAAATATGTTTGATTTACTGGCTAGTTGTTAAGCTCAGAGAGACAATTTAAATCTGGCAAAAATAAACTTCAAGAAAGATCAACCAATGGTAATTGTTTTAAGTTAAGGAGAATACACGAGAAAGTGTGGATTCGTAATTTAAGAATTCATGAGGCGCGAAGCGCCGAGTGAGTTCGTAAATTAAGAGCATATTCTTCGACTTAAACCATTGCGTGAACAGAAGTATTGGAAAGAATGTTTCAACCTGATGCCACTTTTTTCTTTTCACTCATTCGTTACAAAAATGATGATAAGACATAAATCTGGGACTGAGAAATTTTTCCGATTTTGTTAGGAAATACTTGAAATGACTTTCCTTAGACTTTGTACACAAGCACAAAAGTGGCATAAGGTTGCAACATTTTTTCCTGGCGTATTTAGCATGTGTATCACCACACCCGTACAACCAAGTCATTTTGTGTGTATAGGCTCCTTACGTCAGAATGGATGGTTCACACGACAATTTCTTTCTGAATAAACGTCCTATTCATGCTCATTATGGAGAACAATTGTCCGACATGTGCACAGTGCGTTTGACCTATTTGTTTCGATTTTGTTCAAAGATAAAATCTTGAAGTACTTTGTTTATTTCTGTAGTGTATTTATTCTGGGCGTCTTTCGATTTTGAAAAAAAAAACCTGACACATTACACACAAAATTAAATATAATGACACTCTACAAAGAATATGAAAGAAAAACACCCCAGCTCTGTCCAAAAAAAATATTTTCATACAAATTCCAAAAATTAATGCAACCCCCCCCCCTTCCCCCTGCTGTGACACCCAAAAAAATTATGACGGTATAATGTCCGCCTGTTCAAAATACGGTAGACCATTCTGTAATGTAGTGTTAATAATCATCGAATTTGAACAGCGCCCCCTATTGAAATATGGTACCAAGCCCCCCCCCCTCCCAGTTTTTTTTTATGGAGGCCAAGTGTCCGGAGAAAAAAAAACCTGTGTACATTTTCAGATTTTTTTGCTGATGACCCCCCCCCCCCCCGCGAAAATTCCTCGTTTCTGCCCCTGTTACTGTATGTGAAGAGTGTCAAAGGGGTGGTTTGAAGTGTTCTGTTTGTTTACTTTTTGTCTGGCTGGTTCAAATTAAGTATCATTATCAGTTCAAATAGTTGACAGAATACAGGCCACCTACAACGGCAGCGAGACAGAGGTTGATAATTTTACAGACGGTTCAAATGTCATCGCTGATGAGTAGTGTTTGCTTTCATTGCATCAGTGATGTGAATCTCATCGCTACACTTAGTGCAGGCACTCATTGATGGTATGACAATATTGGATATTTTCAAATCACTACGTGCATGTGACGGTATTTGTGTCCTCAAAAGATAGAAGATAGAAGTCAAAAGATAGAAGTGGGGTAGGGGTGGGGTTGAATCTTTCGATGCTCGGGGTTGGGGAGGTGGGTGTGGCTGTCCAAAGTTCATACATGTATTGGCACGATGAGGGTCCCTTCCAGACAGGTTCTTATGATAAATGTACCATCAGCAAATAATGAGTATGGACATTGAGACTCTGATACGGAGCATGGGGGTAAATGAGGAGAGGGAAAACATGGGCGGGGCATGCCCCTCCTCCACCCACGGCTGTTTTGGATGTTTTTATGCACTAGAATGAAGGTTGCCAAAATGGTGTTTAAGTTCCTTCCCACACAAAGTTAACTGTTAGGCCCTATGTCTTTATATCCAAACAGTAATGGACGTGTGAACTCCTTCACTGCCACAATCATCTACAGAGTAACGCCCTCCATGGGTTAAAGGTGAGTGAACTAATTGACCTACATGTATTAGACATAATGAAGTCACGCTTTGTTTACATGTGTGCTTTCCTCTGGGAGCTTGATGGCTTTGTGCCCACCTGGTCTTATAGGAAAGCATACATGTAAACAAAGCATGATGTCAATAGGTCTATTAATGACTGCAATATTTCCCTTTCTGCTGATAAGGAGTGTTCACCTTTTTTAAACCATTGTGACTGAATGATGTCATTCATAAAATAAACCGGGTTTCCAATTTAAAGTTTAAAGCTCCAACATGCTCAAATAAAAAACTACTTTGGACTTTTATTGTCAAGGTGGCAGGAAGTTTTGCTGGTCACGTAGCAAGAATTGTTTTTGGGGGTGGGGTGCTATATCACTGAAGGGCCAGCTTAGTGTATTGCTTTTAGCTGACTAACCAACTATCCAAACAACTGACAGACTGACCGACTGACCAACTGACAGGACCAACCGATCAAGCGATGACCGACCAACCGACAGGGCGACCAACTGATCCACCGATTGACCGACCAACTGTCTGATGGAGCTACCAACCGATCGACTGACCAGACTGACTGACCAACTGATGGAGCTACCAACCGATCGACCTACTGACTGACTGACCAACTGATGGAGCTACCAACCGATCAACTGACTTTAAGTCAGTCGATCGGTTGGTCGCTCCGTACTGACTGACTGACCGACCGACTGGTAAAATCACTGGCCGACTGACTGACCAACCGACTGAGTCACCAACTGATCGATTGGCCGACCAACCAACCTCCCAACTGACAGAGCAACCAACCCACCGACCAACCGACCAACAGAGCGACCCGACCAACCTACCAACCAATCGACCGCTTGACCGACCGACCAACAGAGCGACCAACTGATCGATGGACTGACTGACCAACCAATCGACCACCCAACTGACCAACCGACAGATAGAGCAACGAACTGATCGACTGAACGACAGATTGACTGACCAACCAACAGACCGACCAACCGACTGACTGACATATAAAGCAGGCATGCAACAATTCCTCAGATCCGCTAATTTTCTTGTGTTTTGCTTCTCGTGAATACCATTACAAATTGCAAAACACTGTACCAAGTCTTGTTGGGTTTGGAAATCCCTGTTTTTTTTTAATTCCCAGTTGCATGCCTGATATAATGACCAACCGGTCGACCAACGGACTGATGGACTAATTGACTGACCAACAGCATCCATTTTGTGATTTTACCCGATTGTACTTTGCACACACAGGATTATACCAGGTTGGACTACCGAAGCTGTCTGCAAGTAAACTGTGCCCACATCACCAGCGCTAAATGGCAGAACCACCGGATGAGGGAGCCCAAAGACAAAATGAGACACAAACGCTACGGACACAAACTAACCCTGGTCCAAGCACAGCACAAGACATTCAGACAACTCCGACCCAACAAGTACCAGCTGGTAACGAACAACCTTTCCAGCAGGAACCAACGCAACAACCACCACCACATCTACAGCCAAGACCGGGTGAGACACAAACTAACCCTGGTCCAAGCACAGCACCAACCAGTCAGGAAGCTCCGACCCAACAACTACCGGCTGATGGAGTGAGGGATGCTCAACAAACAACTCAGTCCGGCAGCATACATCCTTTCCAGCAGGAACCAACGCAACAACCACCACCGCATCTACAGCCAAGACCGGGTGAGACACAAACTAACCCTGGTCCAAGCACAGCACCAACCAGTCAGGAAGCTCCGACCCAACAACTACCGGCTGATGGAGTGAGGGATGCTCAACAAACAACTCAGTCTGGCAGCATACAGCCTTCCCAGCAGGAACCAACGCAACAACCACCGTCTCAACTACAGCCAAGACCGGGTGAGACACAAACATTTGTCTGTAAACCCTGCATGTTATGACTCCCCTGGCCCTGATATCGGTTCCCTGACAGCATCCTTCCCCTCCATCCTTTGCATTGACGCTATTAGGCACAATATATAGCATAGTCAGAGACCCTGAAACAAGGGGGACCGCACTGGTGACCTGCCCCCTCACCCCATGGTGAATTACTCGGAGCATCCGTACTACACAATACCACAACCAATTAGTAACTAATTAAAACACCGATAAGGTCACACTATTCCAATCCTTCTAGCAGTTAACGCTTAAATCCTTGCCACCTAAAAGAAACAAAGATTCACCCCATTGAAGTTTGGACCGATATTCAACTTCTGGTGCGATTCTGCACATTTAAAATTGGCACTGAAACCGAGGGCCTCAGTACTGAGAGAAATAAAAAAGAAAAGGTCCTCAGACCTGGAAATGCAAACGAGGATCACTCAGAGAGGATACAGCTTTTTGTTTCAAATTTTCAAATGAATCACGAATTACTCGGAGCAATCGTACTACACAATACCACAACCGATAGTGACTAATTACAATTCTTCTAACAGTTAACGCTTAAATCCTTGCCACCTAAAAGAAATAAAGATTCACTCTGTTGAAGTTAGGACTGATGTTCAACTTTCGGTGCGGCTCAGCAAATTTCAAATTGGTGCTGAAACCAAGAGCCTCAGTACTTAGAGAAATAAAAAAGAAAAGGTCCTCGGACCTGGAAAATGCAAACGGGCATTGCTCAGAGAGGATACAGCTGTTTGTTACAAATTTTCAAATGAATCACGAATTACTCGGAGCATCCGTACTACACAATACCACAACCAATAGTGACTCATTACAATTCTTCTAACAGTTAACGCTTAAATCCTTGCCACCTAAAAGAAATAAAGATTCACTCTGTTGAAGTTTGGACTGATGTTCAACTTTCGGTGCGGCTCAGCAAATTTCAAATTGGTGCTGAAACCAAGAGCCTCAGTACTTAGAGAAATAAAAAAGAAAAGGTCCTCGGACCTGGAAAATGCAAACGGGCATTGCTCAGAGAGGATACAGCTGTTTGTTACAAATTTTCAAATGAATCACGAATTACTCGGAGCATCCGTACTACACAATACCACAACCAATAGTGACTCATTACAATTCTTCTAACAGTTAACGCTTAAATCCTTGCCACCTAAAAGAAATAAAGATTCACTCTGTTGAAGTTTGGACTGATGTTCAACTTTCGGTGCGGCTCAGCAAATTTCAAATTGGCACTGAAACCAAGAGCCTCAGTACTGAGAGAAATAAAAAAGAAAAGGTCCTCGGACCTGGAAAATTGAATCACGAAGGGAAACTGACTCTATGCATTATAATCAGGTTATTATTACATGTATTATTATTACCTTGGATTGGACATTTGGGAGACATCCCCATAGACTTGTGCACAACATTTTTTAAACTTAAATGTGCCCTAACCCAATATATTCCCTTGTCCTTTTTCCACGAATTTCGGTATGTTTACTAATTAGACCACGAGCAACAAAAATAACCGCATTGCTACAGTAAAATTTTGCCTCTAAAGGGGGCTGTGACTTTAGGGAGACATGAAAATGTCTCCATAATGACCGATGTCTCCCATCATTCGAAGAAATTACAATAACACGTCTCCTTAATGGTACATTTAGTGGAATTAACTTTAGGTTTCTCTCTTGTCCCCAAAATTAGTTATGATTATTTCAATCATATTATATATTTCATTGAACTCTGTGTTGTGTATCAATTATTTCTCTTTAGAAAAATAAATGGCAAAAAGGAACACTTAAATCGAAAATGAAAACACATTTTATTTATCCATTCTGGACAATGGCAGCACCTTACGCTGAGAGGTGTCCAGTAAAATACATGTACGACCCACGTGTGCGGCACACACACGGTCAAAACTATTATGAGACAGCAGCTATCAAACATTTCCTGACCTTGTTAAATTACCATTTTTTATGCTGGTGAAAGCAGGGATATAAAAGAAATCACTCTAGAAAGTAAAACTGAAGTAAATGAATTATTGTGTCCTGTGTCCTTTTTCAATTTGTCAGTAGGCCTACCTCTTTTCACAGTGCAGTGGTATTTACACTGTAAAGGCAAATGCATAAAACATTTCATACAATTTTATTTCAGAAAGAAAATTGGATGTTGAGCCTCCCCACGCTTCAGGTGAGTGACACAGCCTTTTTTCAGACAGTGGATTTGTCATAGTTTCCAGATAGTAACGGTCCTGTCTCGATTGGAGGCATTCATTCCAGCTTGCAGTAGTAAAAAAGTATTTAAAGCTGGCAGTGGTTGGGTTGGAGACCAACCTGTTTTCATTTTTTTTCCATTTTAGAAGGGACATATTCACCAGCAGTTGAAGACATTCCTGCTACCCATCGCCTGATGAGTCAGCATATTTCTAATTTTGATCGAGACAGAGCAATCAATCACAATCAGAATGAGATTTTAATTTTATTATTTTGTTCGGTGCTTTCTGCCCAGCAACGTTGACGAAAAAGTCGTATCTGGGTTTTTTATCTTTGAATTTTTTGAATTTGCACTAAATTTAGTCGGGCACCATTTGCACACGGTGTTGTATTTTTGTTATTGTGCGTCTGGAAGCCAGAGTGAGGGAGCGATGGTCGTGTATCTGTAAATGCATTTTAATTAGCGCAATATGTAAGGGAGCAGACTAATGACCAGCCTGGCAGCTCATGCACGATGTCGATGTCGCTGTATGGTTTGACATTACCGTTTTCCCAGATGTTTGTCTGGACTATCTAAATTTCCGGAAGAATGTTGGTGTCGGTCGAGATTGTAAGTGGGTCAGACTTCTCAAGCCTTATGGCCTTACTGAGTCACCTCAAGCTCCACTCTGAAAGATATTTTTGAGGGTTTTAAGGGGATCGAAGTGTCATCTGCAACATATCAGCCGATATTTGAAGAAAAAAAAGTGGGGCCAAAAAAAGAAAAACCTGCGTCGCCGGACAACTTTTGGGGCAAGCTCCATACCAGAAACCGCAGACTTTGTTTTGGTCTTAGGGTTAACGGGGGATTATACAGTAGAAAACTCTGTCCTTTTATGTTACGTGTGATCATTTTTATTTTCAGATAATGTCATGAGAGCCCTGGAAGCAGATGCCAAGGAGCGCGCAACGAAGCGTAAAGCAGAGGCGACGGTTCTGAAAGATCAAGGGAACCAAGCGTTCAACAAGGGTGATTACACACGAGCCGTTAAACTCTACACGCAGGGCCTGGAACATCTAAAAGACTTTGTGGTGCTGTACACCAACAGGGCACAGGTAAACCAGTCAAGTCAAGTCTCTTATGAGCTAGTCCGAGTAACTAGGACTCCACAGAGACATGGTCGGGCGATAATGTTAAAAAAGCGATCTGTTGAGTCCTAGTTACTCGGATTAGTTATGAGCCAAGATCCAAGTGGAGGTGAAGGCTTGTGAGAGAGATACGCAATGTTTTAATTTATTTCCTGAAAAGTTTTCATGTAAAGAAGGGAGAAAAAAAAGGAAAACATATCATTTTGGGAGGGGGGCCAACTCATCTTTACATGTATGTTTGCCATCCCAGGCAACACACCTGTTATCCTGTTTAGACATACAACGCTTCGTTGTTCACTATATATGCGGCAAATTCGAATCCCCTCTTTTCACTTATATCCCCCCCCCCCCTCCTCAGGCTTACAACAAATTGGAAAAGTTTACAGAGGCACTGGAGGACTGCCGGACTGCCTTGCAGTTGGAACCAAACAACGTCAAGGCATTGCTGCACCTTGGCAAGGCCCAGCAGGGACTGAAGGATTATGAGGCGGCTGTTAGGACTTACAAAGAAATCCTCAAGATTGACGAGAAGTACGAGAAAATGGTCGCAGGTGGGTCAGCAGTCTTCAGGCCAAATGCACAAACATGTGATGCAATCATGCTAAAGAGTCATTTGTTGGCCCTTATCGAATTTTGTGGGTTTTTTTACATATTTGAATAGAGCTGTATTTCAGTTTATATTTGGTGAAAACCCCACATGAATACAACCTTCTGTTTAGAAGTTATGGGACTTAGAACACAGGCAAAACAGAGAATCAAACAGAGAAATCAACGATTCAAAATAGTAGTGTTTATTACACAACAATAAACATGCTTTATTTCAGGTTATTGACATTAACTCTTTAGCAAAAATGTCACATTTAAATACTTTATCGTGATATTTTCTCGGGGAAAAAAAGTTGACATTGAAAGAGGACGTGTAGCTTTCCAATTTTACAAAAAAGTCAATTTTGAAATTTTCACCCTGACTGAACTATTTTGGGCTGTATCTTAAAATCATAATTGCCAACAAGTGACTCATTTAGTTTGATCGCATCACACATGTGAATGTGAACGCGAATCTGAAGCTAATTTAAAGTCATTCAGGACACGTATTTAAATGAGTTGAAATGTTTGTAGATCCACAGTGCATTTATTTGCTGATTATTTTTGTGGATTTTTTCATTTTCCAATAATCTCACCCCTGCACTAGGCTACATTGCAGCGGTGAATCTAGCCGAGCCCACAGCCAAGTCGGATATGGAGGCTAAGAGGCTGTTTAGTGAGGGTGACGTCAAAGCAACGGGCGTTCATGAGATCAGACTCAGTGAGGGTAAGCAAAAACTCTGCCATAATTTAAGAAAAATACAAATGTAGGTATGTAAATTGAATGTTTCTTATCCCAAAAATGTTTGTTTTACAGCATTTCATATAATCTTGAATTTTGGTTTCACTATAGACCCTTTGTTGGTTGTGCCATGACAGTGGGCAGCAGTCGATTTCATAAAAAAAAAGTGCGCAGCTTGTGCCATGAGTAAGACTTACGCAACAAATTTGTTGCCCAGCTGGGCAATAAACTTACGATCGATTTCACAAAGCTTGGCGCAGCTGCACAATGCTTTAAATAATTTAAGCATCTTTGACGAGGATAAAAGCCACATTTACGATGGTTGTTTGTGTGTGAATTTTTTTGTTCGCCAAACAGTCGTTGGATCACCTCAGCCCGCCATTTTGAAAATTATTTTGTCCGTCTTGTATCAACCTTGATAAGTTTTGCAATAACAAGCTCTGTGACAGTCCTGGTAAAATATGTCATTTTCAGTCGCTACGCCACAAATTAGGCCACCTAAAATGATGGTGCAAATTACATCGTAATTTATTGCGCAACTTGTGGATTTGCGCACTATGTGACTTTAGTGAATTGTGTCATAATTGAAATGTTGCGCAACTTACACAATAAATTTTGGCTCAAGCAGAGTTGCGCCAATAAATAACATTTTGTGAAATCGGCTGCTGGTCTGTCTTTTCTGCATTATTTTGTATATGGTGTAAGTCAAGGACACACGCAACATTATCAATGAATCGAGGACAGAAACCGAATCGAGGACTCCTCGGTTGGAAAATGTGTACAACCAATAAGAGCTGTTGCAAAAAAGTTAAGGTACAAACAACATGAACAAAGGAAAAGGGAAGAGGAACAAAAGAAAATCCTCAATTTACACCATAAACAATACTCCTGTTAACTCTTTAGGCCATCAGCATGGGTGTTTGGTCGTATCAAATCAGGGCATAAATGATTATAGTGGGCATGCGCAAGGCATACCCCTAGAGTGGTAACAAGCATTTTGATGGACAATTTGAGAAAAAGGGTGATAACTCCTTAAAAGCTGCCACCGCTGCAATGCTATCACATATTTATCACATCTGGAGGTGTATACCTTGCCAAAAATTGCTATGACGATTATTCCCCTCATTTGATACCGGTTGCCAAAATTTTGGACCGAGGCTGATGGCCTACTTGTTAAGCACGATAGCTTGAGAAATACTTTACTTAGGAACTTGACATTTCGTTTGTGGATTGTTCTGGATAGTCTTTACAGGCCTATTAATTTTGGGGCCAACAGGTCAAAGGTCAAGGTCACTATTGCTAAAACAAAAGAAATCTTGTCAACGAGTAAACTTGAGAAATACTTTACTTAAAGAACTTGAAATTTGGTTAGTGGGTTGTTCTTGGTAGTCTTAAGAAGCCTATTGCTTTTGGGACCGACAGGTCAAAGGTAAAGGTCACTATTGCTAAAACAATAGAAATCTTGTCAACGCGATAACTTGAGAGTAATTACGTAGGAGCTTTAAATTTGGTTTGTGGGTTGTCTGTTGTTCTTGATAGTCTTAAGAGGCCTGTTGCTTTTGGGGCCGACAGCTAGGTCAAGGTCTAATTGCTAATTGCTAATTGCTGTATTGTCAGCATGAATGCTTGAGAAGTACTTTACTTAGGAACTTCAAATTTGGTTTGTGGGTTGCTCTTACCGTAACCACAGTAACAGACAGTCAGGAAGCTCTGACCCAACAACTACCAGATGATCAACAAACGACTCAGTCTGGCAGTGGACAGCCTTCCCAGCAGGAACCAACGCAACAACCTCCACCGCAACTACAGCCAAGACCAAGTGAGACACAAACTTTTGTCTGTAAACCCTGCATGTTATAACTCCCCTGGCCCTGATATCGGTTCCCTGTCAGCATCCTTCCCCTCCATCCTTTGCATTGACGCTATTAGGCACAATATATAGCATTGCAGTGTCCCTGAAACAAGGGGGACCACACTGCCGACCAGCCCCCTGTCAGCCCAGAGAGGGGGCTCTCGGGATCGAATGGGACATTTGACTTTTCATTGAGATCTGTGAAGTTCCAATGTGCATGGATGCCTAATTACTCCCCTGTTTTACTGGTAGTTTGATTAAATTACACAAATTTTAAACTTGAACTCAACGTACATATACATGTTCAAGCGGTTTGTTCTTATTGATACACTGACAATTTAAACTTGAAACAAAACTTTAGAAAGAATCCTTGCAACAGTTTACAAACTAAGTCTATACAGTTATTCCTTTTCAAAAGTAAATTGCAAGAAAATAATTATGCAGACAAAAATCCATGGTTATCAAGTGAAGAACAGAAGAAACTTAAAAGGCTTGTAAAAGCAACAGTGTATTTTAAACAACAGAGCATCTAGAATCCAAAAACTTCCCGGTGCCCTTAAGCCTGCCCTGGACACCATGCCGTCGGCCCCGGACCCCACGCCGTAAGACATTTGCCCTTCGCGCTCGCATTAGTCCTCGGGCAGAAGCCCCTATTTGCATCCTTTCAAAAGTTTACAAACTATAAGCCTATCCAATTCCTTTTCATAAATAAAATGCACGAAAATAAATATGCAGACGAAAATACATGGTTGTCAAGTGAAGAACAGAAGAAACTTAAAAGGGTTGTAAATACAAGAGTATTAAAATTAAAAATCAAAAACCACATGTGTTACTGCAAACCGAAATGAAAATGAAAAAAAATCCTTAGTAACTTAAAACAGTTTACTCTTAACCCAGGGCTATAGGGGAAAGGGGGCCAGGAATCGCCTCAGATTTGCAACACAGAGCATCTCGATTCAAAAATTTCCCGGGGCCCTTTATTAGTGGGCCCCTGACCCCACGCTCTCATTAGTCCTCAGAGCAAATGCCCCAACGCATTGTTGCAACAGTTTACAAACTAAGTCAATACAATTCTTTTTCCAAAATACAATGCAAGAAATATGAATACGAAAATACATGGTTGACTATTTTGAAGTACACAGTAACTTAAATGTTTAAAAGCAGGAGTATATTTAAAAAGAATCCTTATAATCGTTAAAGCTTTTGCTCAAACAATTCAGGGGTAAAGGGGCCAGGAATGGCCTCAGATTGCACCACAGAGCATCCAGAATCCAAACCTTTCAGGGGCTCCGTGCTCGTGTTAGTTCTCTGAGCAAATTCTCCAAAGTTGTGCCCCCCCATTTAAAAAAAAATCCTGGATCCGAGCCTGACGTCTGTGAGGGGCAATAAGACAATATTGATTTACATTACCCCAACGCAAATTCCATCTTATGAATATTATTTAAAAAACCTAAATATGGTGTTATTCACATACATGTTCCTGTTATTCACATAAATGTATGAGTGAAAGTTGGAAAAAATCATTCGGGTGGGACTGGAACCCACGACCTCCTGCTTTCTTGTGCAGATGTCTTACCACTCGACCACCGAGCTAACGGCATAGTTTATGCGGTACCCGCTGCTATGTACATCAGATTCGAACCAGCCAACCGATCCCGTAAGCTCGATGGTCGAGTGGTAAGACATCTGCACTAGAAAGCAGGAGGTTGTGGGTTCAAGTCCCACCCGAGTGATTTTTTCCAACTTTCACTCGGGAGGCAACACACTGAGTATACAGTGTTTAAATGTCAGTGAAGGGCAAAACCTAATTTGATTTATATCATCCTGACGCCAACATTCCATCTTATAATAGATATTGTAATTCTTGCTTCTGATTGTAGATAACCCACAAATAAGTGGAGCCAGCATAGGAAGCATTGGTACAATCAGGGGTAGCCAGATCCCTGTCATTGTTGGTTCAAGTGCAGTTCATATCACTTACAACAAGCCGTCGGAGGAACGCGGTAAATATAATCTTGCTTGATGCAATGAAGTAGTTTGATATCTTAAATCAAGTGTTAATGTATTGGGGGGGGGGCAGGGGAGGGTGGTTTACGGTTTTAGAATATGTGTTGAACATAGTTCAATGACTGTTGTAGTTCCCCAGATATATAGGACTTAAAAAAAATTCAGATGACAATCGGGGCCCATGATGACGTCACTTTGGTATTAACAGTATCTACCTACCCACCAAGTTTCAGTGATTTTGCCCTATCAAATACGCCTTGCTTCTGACCTGCAGGAGTCAAGCATGGGAAGTGTCTCAGGAAACTGTCTCCAAAAACGTGCAGACTTTGCAAGTGCATTGTATACAAATGTATACAATGTAAGCGACTTCCGACTGACGAGTGTGGTCGAGAAAATGCTTTGTAATTCAGCACATGTGGGTCAAAATGAAACATGCAAAAAAATATCAAAGGAAATCCCCAGATCCCCACATTAACATGAATAACTTTCTGTTCAATGTTCACAATTCCTTTGTTATAAACCAGCAAAGTTTGAAAGGAGATTGGAAAAAAAATAATGGTTTTAAAAATAATTTCCACTAATATGTTCAAAGACAAATGTGTGTTAACTCATTTCATACGCAACTGACTTAGCCTACGTTTTACTGTAGAATCAAGTCTTTAATAAACAAATTTAGCTCTGGTTGTGTTTGGTATTGTTCAGCTTGCATTGCCCTCTTTTTGGGGATGGGGGTGTATAAAGGAAGGTCCTATGCATCCTTAAATATGCCCAGGAATTTACAGACACTGAGTGGTTCCACACCCTGAAGATAAAAATTTACATGAAAATATACGAGATTTGAAAGTGACCTTGAAACACCGCAAGGTACAGTATTATCAAAGGTTTGCTTTCTGCTGTGTGATGTACCGCCAGCAACAGTTCTGAATTTTATCGTCCCGTTTGTGGCTTGATCAAAATTTCTGAGTGGACTTCATCATAGAGTGAATAGAGAATGGCTATTGAGCGCAACGTAAACCTTGTGCAATTGTGTTTATTAATACACTGATACAGTGAAATTTTGATAAGTCAGAGGGAACAGTTTCTAAATTTGACTTAGCAGAGTTTTGAGTTGAGCAGGGTTGTATAACGTTGTTTATACTACTGAAGGCAATGGATTCTTTGTTTGACTTAACAGTTGTTATGAGTTATCAGAGTTTGACTGATCTAAGTTTCACTGTGGGATCTCGGGGACGCCAAATTAAAGGGCCTATGAAATGTAATTTTGGTTTAATGCAATCCTTGAAAATTGCACCTTTGTGTACCATTGAAGCTCATTTTCTTTTTTGGCTATTTTTAGGGGTATTTTGGTGTTTTTTTATGCTAATGCAAATGTCCATATTCATGAGCAAAATTGTGCTATCATTCCGGTCAGAAACCTCAATGTTACAATTATTTCAGCACGACAAATTTCTAGAATTTTTGATATTTTGCGGTCGTAAATATTCTTTGGCTATTCATGCTGTGTCAGTACATGGGAATGCCAATGAGCAACCTTTCTCAGAAATGTTTTCAATGACCACATAATGGGTGCTTAATAAACAGAAAACCCCTAAACAGAGTCTTCCTGGAATGACATCACAGCAACAGTGCCCTCAGTTGTCCGGAAAAGCATGGACAATTTTAACTGTTTGAAGAAGTGCACTTTTAATCAAGTTCACCAAAACAGGGATGTCAAGTAGTTTTCATACATTAAAGGGAGTAGAAAGTTGCACAAATTGTGTTCTTAAGAAAATTCATTGCATCTGGACCCTTTGTTTAAACATGAAATTTGGATAGGTAATTTTAATCCCAGGCAAAGTTTCCCAGTGTACATTTTACTGCATGTAATTGGACACTTCAACCAGTCGAATACGTTACGGAATATGTGTAAAAAAAAAAAAAAACGTGTTTGCAGAGGCAAAATAATTTGTTTAAAATGGACAAGCAGATTGTTCAGTTTTGATGAATTGCATCTTGAAAGAATTGTTTTATGAATCATGTTCATGTATACTCAAATTGTTTACTCATAATGATTTCATGATTTCTTTTAGAAAATGCCGCTTTTCCGTTTAAGTCTGACGCAGAGACGTTGGCTACCAAACTTGGCAGAGGCAGACCAACTGAGGTAAACTGCCAGAGTAACGACCTGAAAACACTGAGCGACTACTTACAGAATGTCACTCCGCCACTTGAAGGTACATATTTTAACATGAATGTAGAAAAGCAGGAGCTTACCCTTCTCAGGGGAATTCTCCTGAGTGACAGCATGAAGTCAGCTAGGCTGATACATGTTAACTACCACTTGTCTGAGCGGGAGGAGGAGGAGCTTAGCCTCCTTGAGGAAACACTTTGTTTGATAGATGAACCGCGCTGTGGTCTAGCATTCTTTACGCTTTTCATTAATGAAAACTCATGGTTTGACACGGGGCGTATATCGCACAGCATTTTCCGCATTCATGAACAAATAGACTGGCTTGGTTTGGCTATGTACAGACGATCACTGGATGAGGTTGTTGATCTGTTGAAGGCACTGGAAGGATGCAGGTTGAGTAGCCTCGCATTGTGTGACATCAACCTGCATTCACGGGTGCGACATGTTAGCCACATCCCGTCATACCTTCCAATGTTGGAGCTCATTGCATGCAGGTTGGTAGATGATGACATGAAGGACCTGATCAGCATCCTTCCGGATGGGCATTATTTTTTTTCGCTTGCCCTTGATTACAATTCATTCAGTTTGGATGCAGTGAGGGCTCTCACCCATCATCTCCAAGGTCTCCCTGAGTTGGGTGTGTTGAGCCTGTGTTACATCGACTGCGATCCTAGGCTCGTCAAACAAGTTGTCGGGCGAAACCTCCCTTATCTGAAGGAAAAAAGAGATGGATATTTCAAAGCCTATTAATCTCCCACCAAGTCATAACTCTCACCCTGTTCCCTATGAATGCACCACACTCACAAGCCGCATTCATCGAATCAAGTAGCATGCATCATGGGTCATGTTATGTGAAGTCAATGCTCTGTGAACCCCCCCCCCCCCCACACACACACACACACACACACACAAAAGAATAGATAAAAATAAATAAAAACATCAACAATCAATAACAACAGAAATTTTACTTCAGAGTATAATTAGGGCCTTGATAATAAACAAAAAAGTCAACAAAAAGGTTTCAATACAAATAGATGTATTCAGAATTCTTACATTATGGATACAAATATACCAAGCATAGATCCTCATTCTACTGAACCCCCATACCCCCAAAATTCAATCCATCAATTAACCAATCAATAAAAGAGGTCAATCAACAATTCCTGTACAAAATGATTCATTGAAATCTTCAAACATAATAGCACTGTAATATGCATTCTGGGTGTCACTTGAAAGTGATATTAAATTGACCTTGTATCTTGGGTGACCTCTGAGTACTATTATAAATCTACAATCTAATCGTCAATTAAACAGGAGAATCCACCTCTCCTTTCCATTTCTTTTGAGAAAATATCTTGTATCGCATCATCTTAGGTAAAAATTGTGTGAGATAACTTCAACTTTTGTGATAAAGGCCTCCTCCTACCCTGTTATCCGATCAATGTAGTAATATGGCATTCAAACAAACTAATGTGACCACGCGCAAATGGCTGAACGACACCCTTCCATAGACCAGTGCTGTGCAAAACTTAGTATACAGAATAATACCCCAAACCTCGGGTACTTTTGAATTGTTTTGCGTTTGCCTTATGTACAAAATAGGAAAATTCTTGCAACTTCACGCCTTTCAAACAGACATTTTTTTTGAGTGTTTGTGCTTCATTCTTTATCAAATCGTTAGGTAAATTAATGTTAGTTATGCATAAAATGGCAAAAATTATGATTCCAGTTTGCTAACTTTTGTATAGATCTTTAACCTTGACTGTTTATGTAATATACCTTTAAAGTGGTGCAGTTGTGTAAGGACAGTATGACGTGGATTGTGTTTACTATTCAACTATAGGCCTATGTCCATATTGAGAGTTACTAAACCAGTGTTCATACTGTCAAACAATTCATGTATAATATATACATGTAGAATGTTGCATTGCAAAATAATGCATTTTTGTCAGAGGACAGTCATGTTTGCTCATTCAGGACCAATCATTGCAATTGTTGTATGTGCGAAAATGTTTCTGTGTTTCTGATTATGTTGAATAGGTACAAGTGGACAATTTGCTTGTTTTTATCATTGCAAGCCTCTTCAAAGTATTGATTGACACAAGATTTGTTTGTTCCAAGTATGATCAATATTATGTACAAAAACTGATATTTTTGTTTCTAACAGTTTTGATATTTTGCAGTTGCCCGGACGATAGCAGTCGTTTATAACATGCCCAAATGCAACCATTCAATTTGGTGAAAGTATTCTGCAGGAGAGAAAAAATATACTTTGAATCAACATTTTGATTTATTCACATTTGAAATGTAAACTGAATGTAAATACTGTTTAACTGTTGTTGCTGGCATGACACATGAAAGAAGATTTCGAATAAAATGAGATTTACACACTGTAACTGCAAAGCTGAACTGATTGCAATTTTAAATGACGGGGGTTTTTGTACTCATTGATTTACACATTTCAAGGGATATGGGATGGGATCATTTGCATTTATCCCAAAAGTAACCTACCGACGGTGATCAAAAAGCTCACTTGGATTAAAGATCGTACTGGTACTAAACACCCTGTGAAATTATTCCATCTGGCTTGCTGTCATTGAGAAGAAATCAAGAATTGTACTTGATTTCCAATGATAAGTCAATTGACTGGTTTTTGGATATAGAAGAGTTCTATGGACAAAATCGTGTTTATTGATCAAAAGTTTGTGCATGGATATTTCACTCTTCTTGAAAAGTGCAATATCCAAAGCTTCAACATGTTAGGTTTAGAGTATTCTATCTTCTGTGGAACAGTGATGATATTACATGTATTGGAAACGAACAAAATGCATGAGATACAAATGTTCCTATATGCCTTTAAGCCATGGTTTACAAACTACATCATTGTGATTTTTATCTTGTGATAATTAATGTGCAACTCTGTAAGATAAGGTCATCACTCGGGCACGGACTCCAAGTCAGGATAATCTGCTGACTTCTGGATAGTTTGGTTTCAGTCATAAAAATAAACCACAAAGGAGAACTGTCTTGGTGCATTATAATAACGTGAAAGTTGAACAAAGAAATTGACTGGAGCTGGTTTGACCCTGTGACCTCCGGATTCCTGTCCCGGTACAGTAATCCGGAACGGTAATCCTGCTACAGTCAATTTGTTTATTTAACTTGAAAATAAGATTTGAAGGTTTGCATGGTGGAAAGATAAGACAAGATAAGTTTGCGGTAGCACCATGTGAGTAAATCAGTCAACTTGCATCCTTCTCAGCTTCACCAGTTTGGAGCTTCACCAGTTTGCATCCTTCTCACGCCCTCACCGCTCCCATCCTTATAATCGCATCATCGTTGGAATCCCTCATTCTCCTGACGACGGGTGGAGCATACTGTTCGAGACGTTAAGTCCCTCCGGTTCTTTTCAGAACCACACATACTCACAAAAGAGATTTATTCACATGGTGCTACCGCAAACTTATCTTAAAAATAAAAATTAAATATCTGATATTTGCACCGTTTGGTGGAAGTAAGTTTATTGGTTAACTATGAGTAGAGATATGTTGGAATTTGTAAGTCATTTGTATTATTTGTTATTGGTGCAGAAACATTTCTGATCTCTTCTTTTGTTTTTCCAGCTATTTTGGGCAAAGTTTAAGACTTTCGGGATTGTTATTTGACATTGTGTACTTTGTATGATTATTATCGTGTAATAAATTATTGCATGTAATGACTTGAGTCAATCAAGGAGAAATCTTTGAGGTTAGATGATTGTTGTGTTATGCCTCCATTCCTCCCTCAGTGATGGACCAATCTCCCGCCTCTGAATTCTACAGCTGGGTCACCACTTGGGCTTTGTAATCAGGCATGCAGGCTTCATAATGAGGATATCAAAAGAAATTCCTTAGAAAATATATCAACACCATCACAAATTTACTTCATGCAATTACAAAAAATGATTAGACAGCTAAATCACTGATGGATCCAGAAGCATTTATTGTTGGGGGATTAAGAAATAGCCGACAGGCCAATTGTTGCCAATTCCTTATGTGGAGGGGCGGGGCTAGATTGCATTTTATGGGAGGGGTGCAGTGTTTCCTTTCTTTTCTTTCTTTGTATTATAAAGTGGCAACGGGGATGAATAGACTACAATTTCGTATTAAAAACAGTCGTCTTCACTTGTTCCCTGGTGGATTTATCTCAAAAGGCATTTCTGGTGGCCCCACTTCGGTCTGCAAGAAGACAGCTTCTTTGATTAATTCAAGACAACTTCAAATAAGTTGAAGTTATTTTGAATGAATCATTGTTTCATTACATTGTTTTGTTGTGGACCTGTTGTGTTTTGCTGTTGTGGGCTTAGCGACACCACAGTGACTCATTTGAAAACAAAAAGCCTTTTTAAAATATTTTTCTAGCACCCAATGAACACCACAAAATACGGACTTTACCTATTAACACCCCCTCTTCAATTCATCCCCTTTCATGAATTCATGATAATTGTCTAGGCCCCACTACCAATAAACAACTCTACTTTAAGAACAAAACGCACTTTTTGTTTCACTTCCCTTCGATATTCCCCCCTTCGATATTCCCTAAAAAATGTATTGGAAAATTAAATTAAGCTGTCTACATTGTTTATGGGTTGGAGGTGGGCAGGCATGGATTCGGGGGGGGGGGGGTTCAAAACGCCCCCCTGCTCTGTCATTTTTTTTCTTCATAGAAACTCATTTAATTAATGCAACCCCCCCCCCCCCCCCCCCCGCTGTGACGCCCCAAATAAATTATACTGGTAATAATATACTGGTAAAATTCCTGGATCCGCCCCTGGTGGGGTTATTATCAGTGGACAAGTTAATTTCGCCGCACTAATCGAAAGCCCGCCCTCTATGGCTACATTTATTAAATAGAGGAATATCAAATATTAAATATTTAATACAGGAATATTATTTAAAAAAAATAGAGGAATATAGAAGTCGCGGCACTCTAAATATTTCTAAATGGGCGTTGCGGGGAGGAAGGAGTTATCGCTTGATGAAAAAAAATTGCACCTGTAAAAATTTGCATATACGTTCCACAAGGGCTATACCAAATTAATGAAAAAGGGGTGAGCCATCCATCAATACAAAAATAAGGGAACTCAGTTCAAAATAAAATTTCTTTTTAGCAAACTATTGAATTTGAAGACGATCTTTTCTTGGATACAAGTCTCCAATACTGTTTTATATAAAAATTGTGAGAATTAAAAAAGATTTCTTTTTAGCAAACTATTGAATTTGAAGACGATCTTTTCTGAGATAGGCCTACAGGTCTCCAATATTGTTTGATATAAAAATTGTGGGAATTGAAAAAGATAGTATGCAAACATTGTGAATTAAAATAAAAACGACTTTCCCCAAGCTAAAAAACCTGAAACTACCCCAGCACAAAATGTGCCTGGTAGTTTTCATTGGTGAGTAAGGCGCCGCAGAAATAACTGGTTCGCACTTCCCAATGCTTCTGAAATCATTGCAATAGTACAGGGACCAGGGATTTGTTCACAAACCAATCTCACGTGGTTCGTTGCGCGTTCTTAAATTAGCGGGGCACGACGTGGAGGACTTTCGAAAAAACGTCACAACAGCGAAAGTAAGTTTGCCAATTTTTGCCTGAAAAGTTAACCATTTGGCCTTGGAAAGCTAGGTGGAAGTGATTGAACTACTGTAGATTCTTCTGAAGTTATAATTTTTTTGCGTATGGAGAACTTTGCCACCTATATATGCAGAAAATCAAAGCCCTGCATGCTCTGCGGTCACGCACAACGGTGCATTTACCCGGCAACCTGCACAGCCTACTGCGTAGACCGGACTATACATAACTCATAAGCAGCCCGTCGATCCTCAGAACAAAAGCGATGTCTGATTTGAC